ATTTTCTTCTGCTCTCCACAGGGCAGCGTTTGTTGAGTTTAGATTAGAAGATTTCTTTCCTTTTTATTGCTTCTCGTCCGTCTGTCATGACAAGAACCAGTTTGATGCTTACTTGATTAGCCCTTTTGGCATAGGGACCTCTTCCTTGGACTGCATCCCAGCATGCACTGCACACAGCTGTTGTAAAAGATAGCGTTAATATATTTTGCAGAATTTTAAATACATTTGCATCTTCATAAGTTATTAGTAGGAGTGCTTGATGTCATTATGGCCCTGTGTGCACAATGTCCAACCTGGATCACTGCGTACGTCAGCGCGTTCCTGTTCCTGCCAATATCCTGCAACTTCACACAGTCATTGAATGAGAGTAATGATGCATCGTACTTATACTTGTTGACACTCAAAGGCGCTTTACAAAAGAACAAATAACAAGAAACAAATACAAAAACATTGAAAAGGCCAAGATGGGAAAGTGCAAGTTCTTTGTTTGTCTCAGCTGGAATTGGGACGTTTCAGGCGGCCATTTGATGTCTGATGTACGGTTTTATCTGTTGGCTCAATGAAAGCCAGAATTTTATAATCATAAGCCTGACCAAAGTCAAATTCAGTGCCACATGGTACCAGTCAGATCTGTAGAGACACTGGTACAGCTGTTTGCTCTGAGAAGTGAGGCTTATTACTGTGATAAGCCTATAAGTGTAGCTCTGTGTTTTTATGCAATGTGTTTGTCTGGATCCTGGAGTCTGTAATAAAAGTCTGATGATGATGATGAAAAAGCTATAATAAATGGTTAAGTGTAGGCAGTTGGGTTTTAAGCAATAATCTGAGTCGGAGTTGCTGATGTGTCGTGAGAGTGAGTTCCAGAGAGTGGAGGCAGCTGCAGCGAAGGCTCGGCCCCCCCAAGGTTAGGCACTTTGTTCGGATGGGATTGAGGAGGTTGGAGGCGGTGGATCTGAGACAGTGGGAAGGACGGAGCTGAAGGAGGAGGTCAGGCCCCGGGGCAGCTGTGGCCACGTTGTACTGACAGCCGCTTTGACAACAGCTCAGCAAACGCACATCCGTAACGTGGTACCGAGCCGACCATAGACGCGCTGACAGAACCTTATACGCTGACAGAACCTTATACATGCAGACAGAACCATGGACTCGTGTTCAGGATCATCTCCCGTGTCTCCCCTGTGTCTCTCACGTGTCTCCTTCCAAAGCGCAACCAAAACTCCTGAATTTAAAGCTCGAATACCTAAGTTTTCCCCATGCATTAACAGTGCATGTTATTTGTGCTCAAAAGAAAAATGTTGTGAACAAATCAAACAGAGCAAACAGCAGGCCATTTTTTTATTATTATTATTTTGCATACATAAGAGCCCTCTGAGTCATTATTTTACTTTTTGGGCTGAGAGTGGATTTTTTAAATGTTTTTTCCACACAGTTAGTTAGTTAGTTAGTTATTCCCAAACTCTTTACTTATTAAAATATTTTGCGAAATATTAAACAAAGCTTAATGTCAAGGCCTGGATTAAAGCACTTTGATGAGAATGACTTTATATTGTGAATAAGGGCTACAGAGCATATATTTTTATATCTGGTGGTGTGCCGTGAGATGTTTTTATGAAAAAAGTGTGCCTTGGCTCAAAAAAGGTTGAAAAACACTGCTAATCCATGATCTTGTTTTTGATGCTTGGAGGGCAGGAGCCGGCACGGTACACTTCCACACCCGGGTCTCAGTGTTTTCTGTTCAGGTATCTGTGAAAATCCACTATGGCACATGTGTGAGGGTCGATGGGCTGCACAAATAGATGAAAGAGAAGGACATTCCACAGTTTCAGTGACTACTTGAGAATAATGTGACTGATGGATTCACTCAGCGTTGGTTGTGTTTGATGCAGAGACTGAAATATTCCTGATAGAAATCTTTGCAGAGGATTTACATGAGGAAGACGTGTGCTTTTTGTTTTGTGGTAGTTTCTTGAGCAGCTGCTGTTTCCGTGTGGTGAGGAGTATCCAAAATGGGCAGCTCCTGTTCTCTCTGCTCATTTCTTCTCACTTCTCCTTTCTGCTTACCACTTTTAAGGTCCACATTAACCCCTAAATGGTTTTCTCAAACATTTGGTGGAACACTTTTTGAGTCACTGTATCTACTTGAATCAGTCACAGAACAGTTAGCCTGGTCATACCACACCATCGTACAAATCTAATTTCGTACGAAGGTCTGGATTTGCTCCATTGAGCTCCCTTAACAGGTAGGAGGGGTTAACTCCTTTTACAGATTGAAACGACTGGATCCGAGACATCTCGTATGTAATGTGACGTCGTATGTAATGCGTCTGAGTGAGTCACTAGCATTTAGCCTAGTTTTAGCCATCTCCTTTGCCCATAATGGAGCCCGCGGGGTGTAGAGCCACAACATCTTTGCAGCAAGGACATTTGCTAAACATTCCTCTTGCTCCGGCTTCAATATCTTGATACTTGGAGCCGAACCAGAACAAACTAATTTAATATCGCATTCGACGCCAAACTACAACCAGCAAGTTTGGCGCAAACTCTTGACGTCAGTGACATCTAACTACAACACCCGCCTCCAACGCTCGCTGATTGGTCAGATGTGATGCAACCGATGTAATTGCAGACACAGGGACCAGACCCAGACGGAACACGTAGGGAAATGGTAATTGACCGAAGTTTACGATGGCTAAGGCCAGGCTACTCCCAGGCGACACAGGGCCTTTCTGTGTTGAGTTTGCATGTTCTCCCCATGTCTAGTGAGTTGATCCCAGGGGCTCCAGGTTCCGCCAACTCCGAAAACATGTACAATAAATGAAGATCAATACAATCAAACAAAGACACTGCTGTGATTATAGAGTTTATACTTTACAGAAGAAGAAGTCTTCATTAATCTAAACAATAAAGGTGTAATTGTTCAGTAAAATGTACTGTACATTAATTTAATCATTGACTACCAGCCGTTTTTGATGATTTCACTAATTTTAAAAGACCCACAGAATATTATGTGCTATGACTATATGAAATACGAAACCAGATTCTGAAAGATTGGACTGTCTACTTTAAGCAACACAAGTAAGTTTGATTGTAGCTAGTTCTGTTCTCCTGTAATCGCCAGTCAAACAGAGGGAAGTTTGACAGAAATCACCGGTCACAGACACATACGTCAATGGCAGTCCATGAGTTATTCATTCATCTGGGGTTCAAGGACTCCAACTGAAAATATGGAATTTATAATGATTTGTTTATAATGACAAAGATTCATGAATTTGATTTAAATGAAGTGACGTGTGCTATGCAAACATCACAGGCATGTAAAACCCAACAGAAAAAGAACAAAAGAAGTCAGGTTGAGTTGAGTTTCCGATCGTCCTTTTGTTGAGTTTGTGCAGGAGCTGAAGGTGTGTGTAGCGTATCTACGACACGTCTGTGGAATATTGTGCCGGTTGTGGAAGCGCTGCGCCTGAGGTCACCTTTTTATTGCTTCCCTTTTTCATCAAACATCATCTGCACTTTGATTGGTTCCGCTCCACAGCCCTTTGTCCAATCAGAGAGCCTGACTGGAGCATGGGGGTTCTGAGTCTGGATATCCCATTTAGTCTTAATGTCAAAATATACTGTATGTCTGTAATATTGGGACAAATACATGTCATTTGACCGAACAAAAAAATATTAGAAATGAATCAGACCACAAAAGGTTGTCTTTATCTTAGCCCTGTGAGTCACTATTTGACTTGAGCTGAGAGCTGATTGGCTGAGTGAGGGGGGTCCTCTCTTTGTCACTTATCTGTCCAAAAAGCTGATCTAAAGATGAGGCAGAGGCCAAAAATAGACGTTTAAACCAGTGAGTTATTACAGAGCTGAACTGTTTGGGATTGGAAATGTATACACTGTAAAAAGTGATCATGAATAGTAAAAAAAATGTTAAAAATTGGAAAAAATGCATCTTATTTTGAGCACATTTTTTTTACAGCCTTTACACAAGATTTGCCAATGAGAGAAAGCAAAATGTGTTTTAATTTTTAAACGAGAAATGTCTCCCTTGAAATGAGGAAATAGTGCAACCGTTCTTGCTTTGTCCCATTGGCAAATCTTGTTTTTAGACAGTCAGAATGTGCTCAAATTAAAATGGAAAACCACTCAAATCAATCAAATAATAAACTCATATTATATACTTTTCGCAGTGTTGACCCCAGCTTTTTCAAATGATTTCACATGGCCCTAAATTAACATTAAATTCAATGTATTTTTGTCTAGCTCTGAATCAAAACATCTGGGAGGACTTTACAAAACCATCAGATTTACCAACACGGATCAGAAAATCGCGGGCGACAATAGCTCAGTTGGTAGAGAATTGGGCCTGAAGGTCGTGGGTTCGAGTCCACCATGGAACCTACTGCAACTGCTCCCACTAATGTCTGCTGTCGTTGTGTCCTTGGGCAAGACACTTAACCCCACATCGCCTGAAGCCCCTGCTGAAAAACCCTAACCCACCACTGATGTAGCAGCCATCTTCCCCTGGACCCACCACCTGCAAAGGATCAGATCAGAGGGACTGGTTCCCCCCCCCCGACCCAGAAATGAACTAATAAAGGGGTAGAAAATGAATGAAAGATCAGAAAATCAAACAGTTAAAACACAAGAAATGCAATGATAAAAACACATAGAGCCATTGGTCCATAAAGGGCAATGGCCACAAATGTTGTTGAATGTCGAGTGTCCTAAATGTGTAGTATTTGACCGCACACAACAGTATAATCACGGCGACATCTGTTAGAAATGTAATGTACACAATTGAACACACAAACCTTTTTTTTTTTAGTCCCTGCATCGTGTCCCGTTCTCATCAGGATTTCAGTGTTGTCGGTGATGGAAGGTGACGGCGGCGTCCGGAGGGGAGGCCCATTTAGCCCCTCCGATGTTATTTCTATGCAAATCCACGAGCGAGTGCAGAGAATTAGAAAGACGCACCAAAGAGGAGAGCAGAAGAGCCCGTTTCCATGGGGACGGGATCTCATATCATCAGAGTCAAGTGGGGCATGGAGCAGATGAGGAGGCCGTGTGCGTTTACAGTGTGGAGAGAGGGACCGCGGGCTGTTCCAGGGGCCATTTCTGCACAGACACATCTCACACTTGTATGTTTGTTTAAAGGTGAACCTATAACCAGACCTGTAGTTGTGTTTAGCTCCATCCATGCTAATATTAAAAGCTACTGCACTGCAAAAAGTGATGGAAAGATAGGTCCAAAAGTGCTCAAATTAGGTAAACGCAACACATTTTGACTGCCTTAAAACAAGATAAATAAAATAATAATCGTGTTTTAAAAAGATACAAGAAATGTGTACTTTGGAATGAGCAAATAAAGCAATAGTTCTTGAAATGGGACCAAATGGCGGATATTTTTTAAGACACAGAATGTACTCAAATTAAGATACAAACCACTCGGTCCAAGCAATTGTTATATTTTACCCTTTTTTACACCTCTGTCAGGTATCTCCCCAAAGGATTAAGAATTTAACACCTGGTCCTGAATGATTACATTTAAAGACATTTATTATATCTGCTGTTGTATAAAGGTCGCTCTCTGCTTGACATACGTCGGAGATCTAATTTAATTAAAAACGCAGACTACAGTATTTACAGTCAATTCATGTTGTCAAGAGTAGAATGTAAAATTATAGAAAATAAAAATTACAGGGCGAGAAATACAGAGCAAAACAAATATGAAGGGAGACACAGTATTACTGCCTGTAACTCCTAATGGTACCACCAGAGTTAGGCGTGTCCCATTAGCAAATCTTGTTTAAAGCAGTCAAAATGTCCTGAAATCATGAAACATTTTGCCAAATGTAAGCATTTTTTGAGTTCTTATTACAATAGTGTGACGTGAACAAAATGTTGATAAAGAACCATTTTGCTTATTTTAGGAGCAGTATGTAAAATTCTGGCCAAAAGTGGTCTGCACTCCCCCTGACTCAGGTTGCCAGATATGCAAATGAATTCAGCCAGGACTATAATATCTGAATAGACAAGAGTTTTATCAACAACAAATCTATAACCAACACCTTTTTCACAAAGATAGAAATCCTGCTTTTATTCCTTGTTTTGTTGTAAGTAGTAAGTAAGTAATCTTTATTTATATACCGCCTTTTCACTGCACATCGGAGTCTCAAAGCGGTTTACAATTGTTATTTTTGGGAGTGGGCGTGCCAGTACAGGAGGCACATGCCAGACCTATTGTACATATTTTTAGTGGTAGGGGAAACCGGAGCACCCGGAGGAAACCTACGCAGACACGGGGAGAACATGCAAACTCCACTCAGAAAGGCCCTGGTCCAACCTGGTCCAACCCAGGACCTTCTTGCTGAGAGGCGAGAGTGCTATCCACTCAGCCACCGTGCCACCCTTGTTAATGATTTGAGAATCATAACGAGACCTTTTTTAGTTCTGTGGCCACATTTACCAGTGAGATTAGCTCCACCACGTGGTGAGTTCTGGCAACCCGGATTACAGACTTTCTGATTGGTGAAACGGTGGAGGGCGGGACATCAACATGAAAACAATAACAAGATTTAGGAGCTGTAAAACTATTTTATAAAATCCAAATATCTTTGAACTACTGTTATCAGTTAAAGAAGTATTGGAAAAGATCATGTTTTATTAATGCCTTTTGACAGATTAGGGACCTTTAATGATGATTTGACATGAAAATCTTACATATTGCTGCTCTAAATCACTACCTCTTTGTTGTTTTCTACTCTTGTCAAAACCTGAATAAGCAGGAAAACCCTCTGACCAGTTTTTATGCAATAAGTGTAATTATTCCCTCTGAGCACTCTGGCTATTCCCGGCACGCTGCTCTTGCATAACTGCTGCGTTGGTTCGTCCTTACGTCAGGAGCTGAGGCTCTCGCAGCAGCAGCAGCTAAAGTCCGCTAAAGCCCGCTATTAAAGCCATCAAACATTCACACGTACGCGCACCGCGGCTCATCCATCTTTCATCGGGCTGAGTTCAGAGAGAGCCACTGGTCTGCGGGAGTTCACCCAGGATCAGGGCAGGCGAGGCTGGGAACAAGGGCGCGCCGTGACCCCCTGTGTAGGAGCGGGGACGGAGCCGGGCCACGGGAACTGCATTGAAGTTAGGAATGGTTATTTAAAGCTGGGGTGCATAACTTTCACTCCAAAAATAAAATGACAATGTAATTTGTTTAATTTGAGTCAGTCCTGGATCTAAAACAGTTTGCTTCTATCTGTGGTTTTCACAGTCTTTATGTCAGCGTTTAACATCAGAAATATGAGAAAGAATGGCCTTGTCCAGTCTCACTTTTATAATTATCTGTGCTGTGAAGATTATATTACACTTGAAGCCACAATAGAAATCCTAGTTTTAGACTTTTATTTAGGCTTTAGACTGTTATTAATGATTTGAGAAGTATTGAATGAATGACTTGAAGAAGTATTGGAACATAACACTTCTAGTATATTATAATCTTCACAGCACAGATAATAATAAAAGTGAGACTGTACAAAGCCATTCTTTCTCATATTTCTGATGTTAAACGCTGACATAAAGACTGTGGAAACTAGTGATAGAAGCAAACTGTTTTAGATCCAGGACTGATTTAAATTAAAACAAATTACATTGTTATTTTCTTTGTGGAGTGAAAGTTATGCACCCCAGCTTTAAATAACCATTCCTAACTTGAATGCAGTTCCCGTGGCCCGGCTCCGTCCCCGCTCCTACACAGGGGGTCACGGCGCGCCCTTGTTCCCAGCCTCGCATGCCCTGAAAATAGCACCTCTGGTTAGACGCTGAACTGAATTTTGTTGCATTGTTCTTATATTGTGATGACAATGAATCTAATCTTATCTCTGGTCTAAAAAGCAGGTCTAAAGCCGTGACACAGGCCAAAAATACATGTATGAGAAAACTATTTTAGAGCCAGTAACTTGGCAGATGCTTTAGGAATTTTTTTTACTTAATTATTTGTTGTTTGAAAGCGAGGTCCCTCAGCCTTAACAAAGGATTCCATATTCTATAAAAGTGATTTGTCGATATAAAATAATGTCAATATAAAAAAATGAATGCATAAACGCTTTTCCCTGTACTGAAAATATGTTTGTGTTTGAGTAAGATCTGGTCTTACGTGTTTTGATTTCCAAATATTGTTATGAGTTTTGATAGTTGTGTAGACCAGACCCTTGTTCCATTTACTGTGTGCTTCAAACGGGATTCATCTGCGATCAGTCTGCGGAGAGCCATGGAAAATTTATCAAAACATTTTTGGCCATTCAAATTCAGATTCAGTTTATTTGCCATTTGGACACATTGGAAATTATATGCAAAAGTCCCCAGTGTGCACAGACAGTCCATCAATAAAAACAAGGTTAAAAGTACAGGAAACACTGAAATAACTTGTGGAATACCTTGATATCAGCTTGTGGAAAGAAGCTGTGAGCAAAGCGAGATGGGAAGAGGCTGGAGGGAAGAAGCTGGAACATGGCTTTTCCAGGGTGGCCAGAAGAGTCATTAATTATTCTTAGAGCTTGGTTTATGAGACAGGATTTATACAGAGCCTTCAGAACACTCACAGTCTTGTTTAGAGCTCTCCTCTCTTTGTCTGTGATGTCACCAAACATCACAGTCACCGAACCAACAAGCAAACTTTCAGTGATGCAGCGATAAAAGTTAAGCAGAATCTAAGGGTTTGTGGTAAATTCTCTAAGCTTCCACAGACAATTGTAACGCTGACGAGCTTTCTTAACGCCCTGGTGAGTGTTTTTGTCCCATTTTAGGTTGTTAGACAGAGATAAACCAAGAATCGACGTTCAAATTATACTGAGACTAGCTACTGCAATGGAAAAGGTTTTATAATTCGTCCTCCCAATTGTCAATCATCCAGAATTTTGTTCAAAAAGTAGAAAGGGTGACCTTTACAGCTACACAGAGGCTACTCCACCCCTGCTGCTGTGACCCGTCCTGCTCCACCCAGAGGCTACTCCACCTCTGCTGCTGTGACCCGTCCTGCTCCACCCAGAGGCTACTCCACCTCTGCTGCTGTGACCCGTCCTGCTCCACCCAGAGGCTACTCCACCTCTGCTGCTGTGACCCGTCCTGCTCCACCCAGAGGCTACTCCACCTCTGCTGCTGTGACCCGTCCTGCTCCACCCAGAGGCTACTCCACCTCTGCTGCTGTGACCCGTCCTGCTCCACCCAGAGGCTACTCCACCTCTGCTGCTGTGACCCGTCCTGCTCCACCCAGAGGCTACTCCATCTCTGCTGCTGTGACCCGTCCTGCTCCACCCAGAGGTTACTCCACCTCTGCTGCTGTGACCCGTCCTGCTCCACCCAGAGACTACTCCACCTCTGCTGCTGTGACCCGTCCTGCTCCACCCAGAGGCTACTCCACCTCTGCTGCTGTGACCCGTCCTGCTCCACCCAGAGGCTACTCCACCTCTGCTGCTGTGACCCGTCCTGCTCCACCCAGAGGCTACTCCACCTCTGCTGCTGTGACCCGTCCTGCTCCACCCAGAGGCTACTCCATCTCTGCTGCTGTGACCCGTCCTGCTCCACCCAGAGGCTACTCCACCTCTGCTGCTGTGACCCGTCCTGCTCCACCCAGAGCTACTCCACCTCTGCGGCTGTGACCCGTCCTGCTCACCCAGAGGCTACTCCACCCCTGCTGCTGTGACCCGTCCTGCTCCACCCAGTGGCTACTCCACCTCTGCTGCTGTGACCCGTCCTGCTCCACCCAGAGGCTACTCCACCTCTGCTGCTGTGACCCGTCCTGCTCCACCCAGAGGTTACTCCACCTCTGCAGATGTGACCCGTCCTGCTCCACCCAGAGGCTACTCCCCCCCTGCTGCTGTGACCCGTCCTGCTCCACCCAGAGGCTACTCCACCTCTGCTGCTGTGACCCGTCCTGCTCCACCCAGAGGCTACTCCACCTCTGCTGCTGTCACCTGTCCTGCTCCACCCAGAGGCTACTCCACCTCTGCTGCTGTGACCCGTCCTGCTCCACCCAGAGGCTACTCCACCTCTGCTGCTGTGACCCGTCCTGCTCCACCCAGAGGTTACTCCACCTCTGCTGCTGTGACCCGTCTTGCTCCACCCAGAGGCTACTCCACCCCTGCTGCTGTGACCCGTCCTGCTCCACCCAGAGGCTACTCCACCTCTCCTGCTGTGACCCGTCCTGCTCCACCCAGAGGCTACTCCACCTCTGCTGCTGTGACCCGTACTGCTCCACCCAGAGGCTACTCCACCTCTGCTGCTGTGACCCGTCCTGCTCCACCCAGAGGCTACTCCACCTCTGCTGCTGTGACCCGTCCTGCTCCACCAAGAAGCTACTCCACCTCTGCTGCTGTGACCCGTCCTGCTCCACCCAGAGGCTACTCCACCTCTGCTGCTGTGACCCGTCCTGCTCCACCCAGAGGCTACTCCACCTCTGCTGCTGCTGTCACCTGTCCTGCTCCACCCAGAGGCTACTCCACCTCTGCTGCTGTGACCCGTCCTGCTACACCCAGAGGCTACTCCACCTCTGCTGCTGTGACCCGTCCTGCTCCACCCAGAGCCTACTCCACCTCTGCGGCTGTGACCCGTCCTGCTCACCCAGAGGCTACTCCACCCCTGCTGCTGTGACCCGTCTGCTCCACCCAGTGGCTACTCCACCTCTGCTGCTGTGACCCGTCCTGCTCCACCCAGAGGCTACTCCACCTCTGCTGCTGTGACCCGTCCTGCTCCACCCAGAGGTTACTCCACCTCTGCTGCTGTGACCCGTCCTGCTCCACCCAGAGGCTACTCCACCCCTGCTGCTGTGACCCGTCCTGCTCCACCCAGAGGTTACTCCACCTCTGCTGCTGTGACCCGTCCTGCTCCACCCAGAGGCTACTCCAACCCTGCTGCTGTGACCCGTCCTGCTCCACCCAGAGGCTACTCCACCTCTGCTGCTGTGACCCGTCCTGCTCCACCCAGAGCCTACTCCACCTCTGCGGCTGTGACCCGTCCTGCTCACCCAGAGGCTACTCCACCCTGCTGCTGTGACCCGTCCTGCTCCACCCAGTGGCTACTCCACCTCTGCTGCTGTGACCCGTCCTGCTCCACCCAGAGGCTACTCCACCTCTGCTGCTGTGACCCGTCCTGCTCCACCCAGAGGCTACTCCACCTCTGCTGCTGTGACCCGTCCTGCTCCACCCAGAGGCTACTCCACCCCTGCTGCTGTGACCCGTCCTGCTCCACCCAGAGGCTACTCCACCTCTGCTGCTGTGACCCGTCCTGCTCCACCCAGAGGCTACTCCACCTCTGCTGCTGTCACCTGTCCTGCTCCACCCAGAGGCTACTCCACCTCTGCTGCTGTGACCCGTCCTGCTCCACCCAGAGGCTACTCCACCTCTGCTGCTGTGACCCGTCCTGCTCCACCCAGAGGTTACTCCACCTCTGCTGCTGTGACCCGTCCTGCTCCACCCAGAGGCTACTCCACCCTTGCTGCTGTGACCGTCCTGCTCCACCCAGAGGCTACTCCACCTCTCCTGCTGTGACCCGTCCTGCTCCACCCAGAGGCTACTCCACCTCTGCTGCTGTGACCCGTCCTGCTCCACCCAGAGGCTACTCCACCTCTGCTGCTGTGACCCGTCCTGCTCCACCCAGAGGCTACTCCACCTCTGCTGCTGTGACCCGTCCTGCTCCACCAAGAGGCTACTCCACCTCTGCTGCTGTGACCCGTCCTGCTCCACCCAGAGGCTACTCCACCTCTGCTGCTGTGACCCGTCCTGCTCCACCCAGAGGCTACTCCACCTCTGCTGCTGTCACCTGTCCTGCTCCACCCAGAGGCTACTCCACCTCTGCTGCTGTGACCCGTCCTGCTACACCCAGAGGCTACTCCACCTCTGCTGCTGTGACCCGTCCTGCTCCACCCAGAGCCTACTCCACCTCTGCAGCTGTGACCCGTCCTGCTCACCCAGAGGCTACTCCACCCCTGCTGCTGTGGCCCGTCTTGCTCCACCCAGTGGCTACTCCACCTCTGCTGCTGTGACCCGTCCTGCTCCACCCAGAGGCTACTCCACCTCTGCTGCTGTGACCCGTCCTGCTCCACCCAGAGGTTACTCCACCTCTGCTGCTGTGACCCGTCCTGCTCCACCCAGAGGCTACTCCACCCCTGCTGCTGTGACCCGTCCTGCTCCACCCAGAGGTTACTCCACCTCTGCTGCTGTGACCCGTCCTGCTCCACCCAGAGGCTACTCCAACCCTGCTGCTGTGACCCGTCCTGCTCCACCCAGAGGCTACTCCACCTCTCCTGCTGTGACCCGTCCTGCTCCACCCAGAGGCTACTCCACCTCTGCTGCTGTGACCCGTCCTGCTCCACCCAGAGGCTACTCCACCTCTGCTGCTGTGACCCGTCCTGCTCCACCCAGAGGCTACTCCACCTCTGCTGCTGTGACCTGTCCTGCTCCACCCAGAGGCTACTCCACCTCTGCTGCTGTGACCCGTCCTGCTCCACCCAGAGGCTACTCCACCTCTGCTGCTGTGACCCGTCCTGCTCCACCCAGAGGTTACTCCACCTCTGCTGCTGTGACCCGTCCTGCTCCACCCAGAGGCTACTCCACCCCTGCTGCTGTTACCCATCCTGCTCCACCCAGAGGCTACTCCACCTCTCCTGCTGTGACCCGTCCTGCTCCACCCAGAGGCTACTCCACCTCTGCTGCTGTGACCCGTCCTGCTCCACCCAGAGGCTACTCCACCTCTGCTGCTGTGACCCGTCCTGCTCCACCCAGAGGCTACTCCACCTCTGCTGCTGTGACCCGTCCTGCTCCACCAAGAGGCTACTCCACCTCTGCTGCTGTGACCCGTCCTGCTCCACCCAGAGGCTACTCCACCTCTGCTGCTGTGACCTGAAGGACTGATTATTACTATTGTTAGATTATTAGAATGATCAATTTTATTATTTATTTTTGCTGCTACTGGACACCTGAATTTCTCCTACGGGGATCAATAAAGTATCTATCTATCTATTTATCTACCTAAATCAAGTAATGACGACCTCCATTCAAACGGGATTTTTGCACTGCTATAGTCACTTTTTAATTGTACATAAAATACTTTTACTGCACAAAAGATGCACATTATCCCTTTCACTTTTTGCCATATTTGCACAAATTTTCAGACCCTGAGCGATCCTATCGAGGCCAAATGTAATGTACATTTCTCCACTGTGAGATCAATACACTTAATCTTATCTTACCTTATGTTTTAGAACGAGAAACTATATCTTAAGCAGAAAACATATGGAGAATAAAAGCTTTTGCCTGTAATGAATGCGGCCCTTCCTTTCATCTCACTTTCCCAGAGTTTCCAGTTTGTGCTTGATTGGCTTCATAAATAGCTGATATAATGTTGAACGTACCGAGCCCAGCGCAGTCAGCGGCTTGTCATCCTCGCCGTCCTGTCGCCGCTTAATAATTCATACGTGGATGCTGTAAACACGGGATGTCGCTCGGGTGCACGTCCGCATGTCATACGTGCATCAAAGTTTCATGTTTCTGATTGAGACGAAGAGGGAGTTTTTCATGAGGACGTTCTGTCAAAGGCAGTGGATTGTAGATTGCCCATGATCCAAAATGCATCCATCTCCTCCAGTCCCATCCGGGCGAACAGGCTGCGAAAGCAAAACAACAGAGATTCTGATTATTCGGATTCTTTTAATAATTAATAAAGGTTTTTCAATGAATGAGGTTAAAGGAGCTATACCTGTTTCTGCAAGGTTTGAATGTTTAGTACCGCCCCCAACTCGCTCACAGGCTTCTCATTTTCTCTACACTCACATGTCATCGAGCCATCTAGTTTTATTTTGTAATCTATATGCTAACATTAGCATGAGCGCAACTTCTTGTAAGCTGTACGTCAATCACGGATGAAATGGTACAAAAGCAACGCACTGCTAACAAAATATATAACTGAAAGATTACCCTTAGTTCCGCGTCAGAATGTAGTCCGAGCATAGATAGTCCGAGCGTAGATAGTCCGAGGCGGTCCCGCAGGTCTCTCCCATAGACTGTAGTCTCTCCAGAGGATTTGATGTAAGCTAGCTATGTTCAGGGCTTGGTTTCTTCTTTGATCATTTTTTGGCTTTAGTTCCCTCTTCTCTTCCTCACTGTTGTGTGGTTTGGGCTGTTTTGCTGTGTCTGCAGTTACAGCCACAGGAGTTATAGCCACTTATGCTAACATGCTACTGTGTTTAGCAGCGCTGTAGAGGCTAGAGGACGCAGCCTCGTTCTGTGATTGGAGGAGAGCGGGCGTCACGCTAAAGTCTCTTCTCAGCACTTTTTACGGCCTGTATTCATACACAGCTGAATCAATGAGCTCAAGTTTTCAATTAAATTGCGGATTTCAATATAACCTCTATGTAGTAATAAGCATTTTTATGAACTCATAAAAAAAAAAATCGGGTATAGCATCTTTGAGATTAGGATATTCTTTATTTGTGCCACAGTGGGGAAGTCTCAGTATTGCATCCACCAGTCACAGAGCAGTTAGCCAGGTCTTACCATACCGTCGTACAAATTTCATTACGTTCTGAGGTCTGGATTTGCCCGATTGACAATAAAATAAGATGTAGGGGTGGGTGCAAATGAACCAGCTGCAGAAGCGTCATCCAAGGAGCCGTCTGCACCGGCAGTAGAGAGCCACCTGCAGCCACAGGGGACGACACAGGACCCAGAGGAGAGAGTAGGCTCCAGACCTACACCAGGTCCAGGAGCCAGACCCCAGAAGGACCCAGAGGAGAGAGGACGCCCAAGTTCTCCACCCGGTCAAACACATCCTTCTGAGTAGACGAGACCACAGACTACTGCTGTTATCACTATGACTCGTGGAGATACACGCAGGTGAAAACCAGATCCTGTGAGACCTCTGAAGCTAAGCAGGACAGGACCTGGTTAGTACTGTGATGGGAGACCTCTGGCAACACCAGGTGCCACAGTGGGGCGGCTGTAAATTGTCAAACTGTGGCTGCGTCCTTAGCCAAGACACTTCACCCCCATTGCCTAGAATGAGTGTGGTGTGTGTGTGAATGGTTGTTGGTGGTCGGAGGGGCTGATGGCATATACAGGTTGCCTCGCCTGTGTCAGTGTGCCTCAGGGCAGCTGTGGCTTCAGTAGTAGTTTATCACCACCGTGTATGGAGTGAATGTATAATGACATGTGAAGCGTCTTTGAGTGTCCAAAATATAAATATAAACTATCAAACCGCCACATTTCTACCACTATTATTACTCGTATAAGCCTTGTCCTCCAGCTCGTAATGGAGAGTTTTGGTCCAGCACTTCCCCTGTGGCGTGTTGGGTCCTTGTTAGAGCAGTGGAGGATCCCCGGTGGATGGTGACAGCTGAACGTCGATCTGATGCCTGTCCCTCGAGGCTAAACAAACCCCGACTTTAGTCCAAGTCCAGGTTTTGGATCAGGACCAGAGGAAAATAATACACAGCCATCTGGAGATCACACCTGGACAAGCAAGCGACAAGCAAACTCTTCAAAGTGTTTTGCTTGTCCATAGTTTTTGTTTTGTTTCAGGTTAAATGCATTTTTCTGTATAGTGTCCAGTGTT